TACTGTCTTTTACACATGGAAGATATATTAACCATGGATCTAATCACCTCCAGACAACAGGAAGCCCCTTCCAGACCCTGCAGCTAAACCCTACTGCCAGAAGTCACATTCCAGACACGAGTGTCAGCAATAGGGGTGATCTAGTACGAAGGAAGCCACAGGAATTCGATGGGAAGGCACCGTGGGAAGCATATAGAGCACAATTTGAGCTCCTGGCAGAAATGAATGAATGGACAGAGGAGCAGAAAGCAGTGCACCTGGCAACGAGCCTGAAGGGACGACTACTGGAAACACTTGGACAGTTGTCAGCAGACGACAGGCACAACTATAATTATGACCTCATTAACAGCTGAAATCTCAATCTTTCTGTAAAGCTTCTCATTAATTTCATCATTTGGGGGTCTCTTACAAATTCTCACTAAAAGTATTTACCCTTTATATCTTCTAATAGTGACCCAAATGGATTAAATCTCCTTGCTATTATCTTTGACATCCTCAATTTTAGCAGGATGTAACTCATATTTTACCAGCTCCACATAACCTACAAACAGCAAGAGAAAAATAAAAATTTGACACCACTCTGTACTTTTCAGTCTTGATAATCTTTTATTTAAGCCAAAAATGGTGACACCCAATTTTACCCATAAAACCCTGAATAATTTACATACTTTTAAATCAAAAAAGCTCTTCTAATTTACAACTTCCAATACCATTCACTCCTGCAAGAACTACAAAATGCTCATTGGTACAAATCTTTTTTTTTTCATTCACTTTTTTCTTTTGTCCTTTCATTTTTTCAATTTACCTAAGAAATGTAATTGTGGCTGCTTTGTTTATGTGTACAATAAAGTTATTACCAATGCAAGAATATACAATAGTACACCAAATCCTTGGAGAAATATTATCTGGCTCAGAAGCCTTATCCTTCTTTAAACTTTCCATTTTTTTCTTAACAAGCTCAGAATTAATGCAATTATATTGTGTTCATCTATCAACTGTTCATCCCTCAAGGGTCCTACCTGTATCATAACATTTTGCTTATCCTAAATGTATTTACAGAAATCCTGTTAATTATTACATTTTCAGCCTGGGCATGAATTTTATATTAAATATTTTCAATAAAAGTTAAAATTAAGTTGAACATACAATAGGAATACCATGATATTAATAATTAAATCACAATAAACTTTTGGTATACTTAACAATTTACACTAGAGTGCATGCCTTGTTTTTAAGAAGAAATGACTGCTAGGCTAAGCCAGTGAGAGGGTACTGTCTATATTATGTTCAGTCAGTATTATCCTTGTCACAAAACAGGGTCAAGACATCCCAGCCTTTTAGAATAATGGGATTACCCTACCAGATTACCTGTTTAAGAAAAGTCACATTGTATTTTGTTTGTTTTTAGTTAAGCACAGAGTCATACAAAAGGTTATCTGTGCTGTACCCACCATGGATATCAAAACCCTGTTTCTAGTGTTATTAGTTTGTAGATGTACTGCCGTGTCACTGGGGGTCAAAGCCACATTGTAATAATTACAACTTATTTCTTTACAAATACATATTATCCCAACAATGCTACTTTTTTGGACATATTGGTGGGCCAAATATTTTACTATGATAAACATAAAAAAGCCTTCCAGAGGCATTATACTACATATAAGCAAATAAACTGACCTCACTGCAAAAACCCAAACAATCACTTTACTAGTATTTATTAAGCTATATACATGTTCAGTTCAGTAATAATCAACAGCAAAATATCCTGTAGGAGTGAAACTTTTGAGGTTAGATATCTACCAATGTAAGGAGTTTTGGAAAAATTAATAACTGTTGACATGAGTAGTACTTCAAATTGGGTATATTGTTAAGAATTTTGTGAAAACTCTTAAAATCTACCAGATCATAACTCTCAAACACAGAAAATTCTGCATGCTTACACTGTGTTAAGACCTACAAAAACCAATTAAGAATGTTTAATCTTTACTAATATTTAGTCTTAATATGTCTGAGAAACATTCTCATAAGATTAACCCCAAAACTGATTAGAGCACAAGGGGCCATATATGATTCAGAGGATTAACAGGGTTAATGGGGCAACACATACCAATTTGCAAGAGCTTTGGAGAATATAACAAATTTTTTAAGGGAAACATCACTGAAATGTTAAAATAATGTTGTTTCTTTGGATAAAACTCATCTAAGCTCAAGATAAATATTTTCAAATACAGAAAACAACATTACATTTCAGTACTAAATTAAAATCTCTGCACACTGCTTCTTGTGTCATTGTTATTTTGCATAACCAAAAGTTCATTGTGAGATAATTGAGTAATAAGCTATATCTTCAGGTCTTTAATTAGGTAATATAATGAAGGTCTATTCCAAGACTTGTTTAATTATTTTTACTAGGCCTCAGCCAAACAATTTTTAAGTTACATCAAACTATAATTATATGTAATATGTTGTCTTTGTAACTTTAATTCCTCAAATCTAGGGAAGAAGAAGGGTCAAATTATAGGAAAGGAGTGTGTGAGCTACAGCCTCAAATTCAAAATTTATAAAAATAATGACACAAGTACTGGAGTATGCTTTCAAATTCAGTACCCCAACCATTCAGAGACCCAAATCCTGAATATACAACTCATAATATGTGACATATCAATGCCCAACATGCCCCTAGCTGCTTGGAAAAAGAATGCATTGTAGATCTCTAAATCATAAAAAAAAACAAATAACATATTTCACTTGAAGTTAAACTTAAACTTGTCTTAACAGTATAACTTATAACTCAAAAACACAGCTTGTTAAAAAATTTGTGTCTTATTGTTTCCAGGTTTGGAAATTGGATACAAGAGTTGATTTTTTGCAACATAGCGCAGTAGGCCATTATTTGTTCTATTCCAAGTTCTAGTTCTATGTTAACAGTGCTACTACAACAGTACAACTTACATTTTAGTTTTTACTAGTAGCAGCAGCAAAATCACATTTTGCATCTTACCTTGAATTTGAAAAATGGAAAGACAAATCAAATACCACTTATAGTAACACTGAAACTTTGAAAATGAAAGGCAATGCTGATACTGGTCTTAAAAAAAATTCACTATCAGTATCATCCTTTTGTTCAACATCTCTAGCCTGTAATACTAACACTAACAGTGTAACTTTTAATTTTTAAGATGTTTTACACTAAGCCTTGATGAATTCTTACCTATATGTGACCATATAACAAAATGAAGCTACTCCTTAATTTTTTGTTTGTTTATTAATAGTTATATAAGCACAAAACTACACAATAAGATATCTGTGCTATTACCAGCACAAGTATCGTAACCCAGTTTTTAGCGTTATAACTTATAAGTCTGGAGATATCGCGTTGACCCACTGGGGGGCCAGCTTTATTTGATGATAAAATAAACTTATATTGTTAGTATCTCAGATTATTTAGAAGGAAGTAGAAACTATTTCAAATATCTCACATTAAGTGTCATTGAGATTTAAAACGTTAAATGTTTGATATAAACTGCTCTAGAATGTTCTCAATAAAATGGTAGAATGGTTTTTTAATGCCTTTCTATCTCCATACTAATCTTCACCCACATGTAGATACACACAGTCTTACAACGTACAATTTAATGTTTGTTTTGTTTGTTTGTTTCTTGAATTTCGCGCAAAGCTACACTAGGGCTATCTGCGCTAGCCGTCCCTAATTTAGCAGTGTAAGACTAGAGGGAAGGCAGCTAGTCATCACCACCCGCCGCCAACTCTTGGGCTACTCTTTTACCAACGAATAGTGGGATTGACCGTCACATTATAACGCCCCCACGGCTGAAAGGGCGAGCATGTTTGGTGTGATGGGGATTCGAACCCGCGACCCACAGATTGCGAGTCGAGTGCCTTAACCACCTGGCCATGCCGGGCCGGTACGAGAAGAAATAAATGAAATATGGGAGTTCGTAAAATCAACCACCAGGCGGCCGTGGGAT